GTTGGTAGAAATAAGTATCCGCACAGAAATAAAACACCTCTTGAAAATAGAATAAGGATCTGCTATTTTGACATATTGCTTTACAACTGCTGACCGTATAACAGTAGCTTGTTATTTAGTTCTGACATTGCATAGCTTAAACCTCATGTTACATGTTGGAATGATTTCATGTTTTGGTGTGTGTGTTTCTTTAAATGTTTAGTATGACTGCAGTAATGTAAGGAGAGTGAGAGAGGGAGATAAGTGTGATGTGATTGGCTGATGACTGAGAGTGTGAGAGGAGAGATGTCTCTGAGGTGATTCTGTGTTCTTGAAGAGATGAATATGGAGAATTTGTGTGACAGTCTGTGTGACAGAGGAAGCAGTTGGAGTTTAACCTGTATGGCTAAGAAAGGCAGAGTTTAGCCTGTGTGGCTATATGAGAAAGAGAGTTTAGACTGAGTGTCTAAGCCTTTCAGAGTGGAGTTTTGGTGTTTGAGACACTGTGTGTGATGCCAAGCTTTGTGAGTTATATTTTCTTTCTTCAACATAAGTTCAAAAATACCCAGAAACTTATTTTGTTCTTTTATAAATAAATCATTATTTGTTTTAAACTTATCCCAGAAATCAGTACAGTACAGTATAGTACAGTCCTTCCTCAGAGCCACATAGTCCTCTGAAGCATCCAGACACTGGGCCATTCTACCAAAGAGAGAGATTTGGAATTTTTAATTCCTGGTGGCAGCAGAAATCTACTAAGGCTCCAGTTACACGGGCCGGAAAATGCAGGGGGGGGAGCGTGGCTGTTTGCCCCGGGGCAAAATAACGTGCGGCTGTGCGATCAGACATCCCGTCGAGGTCCCGTCGAAGTCCCGTGGTTAGGGGGGAGGTGCCAATCACAGGACAATCCTGCGGTGTGACAAAGAAGTGGGGCCGTGGGGCAAATGGTTTTTTTAAAAAACTGAAGTGTGCGCATGCTCCGTTGGGTGCTTGTGCGCATCTGTGGAGACTTGGGGGGGAAACCCCTTTTGCGAGGGAACATGGGCGGGTGCTGGAATTACCACCGGAAACGCGATCAGACGCCCGCCCTTGCCCCGCGGTTTCCGGAAACTAGTACCTCGGGGGTACTGGTTTTTTAGCCCGCATCTTCGGCGAGAAGCCTCGGGTTTGCCACGGGAGCTCTACGCTTCCCAGATGTGGCGGTGTGATCACACCCGGAAAATCCGCCTATCTTCCATATCTGCAGCGTGGCTAATGCTCAGTGACCGCAGCCCGTATTCATGTACCCAGAGTGTGGTTTAAAGGAGAAACAGTTAAGCAAGGACACCACACATATTAATTTGCTGTTAAGTCCATGTCTATGAGTTTGAACCTTACCTACCATTCCAATGTATTTGAAAAAGTGTGCCTTGCACATGAAAGCTCATACCCTGAATAAACCTTTGTTGGTCTTAAAGGTGCCACTGGACTCTAAATTTGTTCTACTGCTTCACACCAACACGGCTGACCACCTTCATTATACAATGCTTTCCCACTCCCTTTTTTGCTCCATTGCTGTCTCAGGAGCTCTGGGACACTATGGCAGGCAACCTGGCCACCTTACCAATGTGATGAACATCTGCCTCCAAATCCAGACCCAGGTGTGTTCTCTAACTTGGGATCCCAGAGATCAGGGGCTTGAATTGACAAATGGAAAAGCTGAAACCTGGAGTGTAGGAAGCTGTTGCTAACACAAAGGCCCAATAAAGTTTTCTCTCATTATTAAGTGATCTTAGTAATACATCCTTAAGGAACACATTTACGGGTGTACATTTCCGGACCATACCTTCTGCCTATCTTTTTGGCAGACTTCAGAAAACTCCTGTGGAGGAGCGACAGCTTTACCCTTGCAGTGCTGAGCAAGTCAAAGATATTAAGCATTACGTTTTATATTATGATTTGATGAAATTATGATTTGATGGAATCAAAAGGAATAAATTGTTGAGTCAGTTTATGATGAACTTTTCAGGCTCTGATGAGGAGTGCTTTAAATTTTATTGGCAGGTGCACATCCTTATGCTACCTTTCAAATGGCTACTAAATTTGTTCTACTTGCTTCACACCAACATGGCTGACCACCTTGTGGCCACCTCTCATTTCCATTAACACAAGTATCTGTGATTTATTTATTTATTTCAATTTATCCTCCTTGTCTTTCTGCTTCAGACCCTGCCTCTTTCTAGGTGCAATGAACAGTGTGGCCCTGGATATGCCAAAGTGATTCAGAAAGGAGAAGCTCTTTGCTGCTATGGCTGTGATCAGTGCACGGAAGGGACCATCTCCACTCAGGATGGTAAGTGGCTCCGGAGGAAAGGGGCCGGCCTTAGGGAACAGAGGAAACATTCACCAAGACAGATTCTAAAGATTTTTTTTAAAACACACGTTCCAATTGTCTTGGCCAAAAGCACAGACAGCCTTAAAATGGGATTAAAGAACCAAAACCGTGACTGAACAGAAAAACAACAACAATACATTATAAACAATTGTTAAAGTTATTTTGTGTCACAGTGATTATTAGAAGCACAGGTATATTAAGGCAAAAAGTCCTCTTAAAGCCATAGAGGCAAAGGAAACTATCAAAAGATGTAAAAGCGTCTATTAAAGTACATAAATCTACAGTAAATCTGAAGTCCTCCCATTAGGAGTTCAAGGAAACAGACAGTCCTCATATTGAAAGGCAGTAGATCATCAGACAACAGGAATCCGTTTTGAAGGAAGATCTTTCTCAAGTCCAGTTGCCATAATAAAATGTATGAAGGCAGGGATCTCACTCAGAAAGTCTCCATCATCTCTAAATGCTCCAAGGCAATAAATGGCCAAGCAGTCTAATGTTTGCCAAAAAAAAAAAATCCCTTTTCCCTGTGACTTCTCTTTTTGTTTTGTGTTAAAAGGGGATTAGGCAGATTTGTGGAGGACAGATCTATCCATGGCTACTAGCCACGGAGACTAAAGGGAACTACCACATGCAGAGGTAATAAACCTCTGAGTACCAGTGCTAGGAGGCAACATCAGAGAAAGGCCTCAACCTCTAAGGCCTGTGGTTGGCCCTCCATAGTAACTATGCGAGAAATGATTCTGGACTAGATGGACCACTGGTATGATCTAGCATGGTTCTTCTTATATTCCCGTGTTGTTTTGTAAATAAAGAACATCAGGACAAAGAGTTGCCATGTTGGATCAGACCAGCGATCCATCTGGTCCACCATCCCCTTCTGCACAGTGGCCTCTCAGATGCCCCTGTTGTGACCCCCCCCCCCCCTCAAGCAGTGCTATTCACTGGGTTACTGCCTTACTCAGGATATTGGTTCTACATAGCTAGTGGCCATTGCCAGACCGCTGGTTCATTAATTTGTCTACTTCCCTATTACAGCTAAGTAAACTAGTAGCCATCACTTCGTACATTGGCTGGGAATGCCGCTAGTGAGTATGAAGTTCATTCATTGCACAAAGAGACACAGAAGTGTTCTTATAGAATAGACTGATGGGGAGGGTACAGCCAAATCCTATCACACATATTCACTTTTAGTGCCTTAACTCCACCCTATAATTTACATGTGAAAGGGGCTCAAATTGAGTGACGTAAGATTGCTACAGTGATGTGCAGTTCGTTCCTAACAGCGCTATGTCCTTTTTCCTTCCTCGATAGTCCTCATACCCTCTCTTCCTGCTTCTTTCTCTCCTTTCCACCAAACAACCAACCTAGCTTTATTTCCCCTGTGTCTTCAGCCCCACCCCCAGCATCTTCTATCTAGAGCAGGGGTGTTATGTTTGTATGTAACATATAATTTTTTTATGAGGGCCAGATCTGACATAAATGAGACCTTTACAGACTGGGCCATGTGTGTCATACAATGTAATGCCAGGTAGCGGAGATATAAACTTTATAAAGGACATAAACACAAAGGGGTTTTTTTTACTTAAAATAAAAACATGCTTAAAACATTAGCACTCTTGCAATATTTTGTTGATTCAGCAGTGTCTGATAACTGACACCTCTTGGTCTGAATGATTGCATCACAATGTCTGTGCTGTTGCAATCTTGAGTATGCTGTTCAGGTGTGTATCTGTAAGCTGCAAACCTACAATGATGCAGCAGCAGCAGCAGCAGCAGCAGAAGAAGACAGCCAGGTCCACTGCGGGCCTGATGAAAGCCTTCCGAGGGCCTGATCCGGCCCCTAGGCTGCATGTTTGACACCCCTAATCTAGGGCCCTGGGCCAGGCCCACTTGCATAGTAGGGAACCCTCAAGGACTTGTGGGGGACACATCACTTTCCCCTGTATCCTTTTTTCCTACATTATTTCCTTTTTACTTCCTCCTGGCAATCCCCACGTCCTCTGCCCTTTCCCTGCCTCATTCTTTCCTTCTTAGCCATTCGCCAACTTACCTTTATCTGCTACATTTATTATTTATTTCCATCATTTATACCCCGCCTTTCTTCACAACAGAGGTCAAGGCACCTTACATCGTTCTCCTCTTCTCCTTTTTACCCTTACAACAACCCTGTGAGGTAGATTAAGCTGAAAGTATGTGACTAGCCCTATATCACCAAGTGACCTTCCATGGCAGACTGGTGATTTGTACCAGGGTCTCCCAGACCCTAGTGTGAAGCTCTAACTGCTACACCACACTGGCTTTCATAGGGTGGCTGCTTTTGAACAGTAACAAGTGGCCAGGCCTAAGTGAGTCAGGCAAGTCAAATAGGAGCAGGTAGCCTGGTGGTTACTGCCAAGCCTGATATTTTTGGCCACTATATGACAGACTGTTGGACTGGATGGGCCATTCACTTATGTTCTTATGAGTCCTCCTTCAGAGGCCAAAACAGCACTGGAAAGGACCCTGCTACAGGAGACCCTTTGAAGTGGGGATGCCAGGAACCCAATCTGGGATTTCTTTGCATCTGAATAATACCCTGTACCACTGAAATTCAGCCCCACCACCCTTCAACATCTACTATTCGTGTTTTTGTGCCCCTTAGATCTCTCATCCCTTAGTTACAAGATTTATGAAATGTAATCACACCAAAGATGTAAAGGAGATGCTAGTCAGACTTTTCTTTTTCAGATGCAAGTCAGTGCAATAAGTGTCCAGAAGATCAGCAGTCAAACAAGGACCGGAATCAATGCATTCCCAAGTTGATAACCTTTCTAACTTATGAAGAACCTTTGGGGATCCTTCTAATTTTCTTCACAATAATCTTGACCCTAATGACAGGAACTGTTTTAGGAATCTTCATTAAAAACTTAAAAACTCCAGTTGTCAAAGCAAACAATCGGGGCCTCTCGTATGTTCTCCTCATTTCCCTCCTGCTTTCATTTCTCTCCTCTTTTCTATTCATTGGTGAGCCAACAGAGGTCACCTGCCTTCTCCGACAAACTGCCTTCAGCATCATCTTCTCCGTGGCTGTCTCTTCAGTGTTGGCCAAAACTGTCACTGTGGTGGTGGCCTTCATGGCCTCCAAGCCTGGGAGCAGGATGAGGAAATGGCTGGGGAAGAGCTTGGCCAACTCCATTGTCTACTTCTGTTCCACTATTCAAGTGGGCATCTGCACTCTCTGGCTCAGCATCTCTCCCCCCTTCCCAGACTCTGACATGCACTCCCAGCCTGGAGAGATCGTACTGCAATGTAATGAAGGCTCTGTTGCAATGTTTTATGTGGCCCTTGGCTACATGGGCTTTTTGGCCGCTGTTTGCTTCACTCTGGCTTTCCTGGCCAGGAAGCTGCCTGGGGCCTTCAATGAAGCCAAGCTGATCACCTTCAGCATGTTGGTGTTCTGCAGTGTTTGGGTGTCCTTTGTGCCCACCTACCTGAGCACGAAGGGGAAATACATGGTGGCTGTGCAGGTCTTCTCTATCTTAGCCTCCAGTTTGGGCTTACTGGGCTGCATCTTTCTTCCCAAATGCTACATTATTATACTGAGGCCTCATCTCAATACAAAAGAACATCTAATGATGAAACATAAAGGTGAGATCTGATTTTCTTTGTAGGTTTCGGTATGTCTTTCATGCGTAATGGAACCAATGTGCTTTTCTTTGGAGTTGAACCTCCTGAGCTACTGTTAGAATAAATCTCTCACCATTTCACATATATCATGAAAGGGTTTGATTATGTTTTAATTCTGATGAGTGGATAGTGACACTGGATGTCCACAGGTCCTTTTGCTCTGATGTTTTACATCTACCATTGTATCACAACCTGATTCTAACCTTATTTGGTACAATTGGACTTTGTTATCTTTAGAATCCCTATGATTTCACATCCAAAAAAGACACTGGTACAGCAGGAAGATCCCTTATGGGTCAGGCCAAGAAATCATGATATACCCTGCTAGGAACTATGATAAATGAAATGCTGCCTCTTGAGGAGGTAGCCAGGAAACTATGTTGGTCCTTTATCCAAAGGCTTCTTTTCTGACTTCATGAGATCCCCCAAAATCTATCCTAATGAGATGGAACGTGCTTGTGAGCCATTAACTGAAAGTACGACATACTTCATCAAATTTCCAAACCAATACCAAACTAACAGTGGAATCACAATATCTTCCTAAGGAAGACATGCACGCTGTAGCTCACCAATTTGGACCTGGCAAACTTCCTCAGCTCAGTGCAGCCTTCACCAACTGTACTCCAGCTCAGTAGCGCACCTCTGGGCCCATAACCCTGACGGCATGCGCAGAGCGTCTGAATAATAATGAATTCAGGATGCTGTATATGAGCTATATACAGTGGCTTTTATTTACAGTTATATACACAGTCCATGCCACCATGCGGTATCCCAGATTCACAGAACTGACCAACAAGGTGCTTCGCAGTACACTCTCCACAGGTGTGGAACACTTGCTTCAGGACTACATTCCTTATATACAGTACTTACACCAATCAGAGTCATTTTGCCAACTCATGGTGACATAGTTAATTGAGCTGATGCAACCTAGTGCAACTTGCATTTGGTGACCCTGTCACATGACAGTCTTGCCTGTCACCTAGATCAGTTTAATCTGACATGTGTGCATCATTGGCTGTCATCTTGCATACATATAATACAATATGCTGACAGTGCCAAGGGCAGTGGTTAATGTATTAATAACCATGGGGAATTGTGATATTTAAGAGCAATTGCCAACTAAGGGGACACAAACCTTTGTATACAGAAGTCCCACCTTATCCAGTAAAATCAAGAATAAATGCAGAAACCAAGTCTTTTAGAGGAATGGATTCTTTACTGAGAGTTCTTCACAAACACAATAAATTCAAGCACACACACACACACAAACCTAGGAAAATTAGATAGAAAGGGATAGTGATGTTCACATTAACAGGTAAAAAAGTTGATTGAGTGATACATGCCTGTCCTGAAGAGATGAAGTGATCCACAAGAAAAATGGGGAGACTATGGGACTTCCGGTTTATGGCGACACGCTGGTGGACGCATCTCCCGGACCTCCCAGGGATGTGATCTGTGCACC